TTGTCCAAGGCTCCAAGGTGCTGGCTCCGGCTCTGGAATCCACAAGATACTAGCCAGCAGCTCCTCTCCAAAACAAGAAAGCCACAAGGTCAGGCAACAATCTGCGCCAAAGCGTTTCTGCCAAATTACTAGAAAATGAGGATGTAAGCACCTCAAAGTTCTATCTATTAACTGTTCAATTTCACAGTCAAATATTTCAGCCAGGTGATTTCTGCAGCTCTAAACCTTAGATTCAGAGACAAGAACGGAGCTGATGCATCTCTGGCCAGTGCCACCATAAAGGGACAGATGAAAGGTTACCTCTAAATTTTCTGTTGGAATTCAGCACTACTTATGTTATTCTTTGGATTGGTAAAGTAGACTCCCATTTCTTTAAGCAAAGCAGATGCAAAGATACCCCTTAATGATTATGAAAAACAACACACTTCCATCACTGTGCTTTCTCTTAGTGAACCATTACCTAAAATTATTCTGCTTAATAAACACAGAGAAGCGAGGGGCGCCTGGGTGCTTCAGTCGGTTAAAGTGTTTGACTCCTGCTTTCGGCTCATGTCATGATCTCATGGTTCGTAAGCTCGAACCCCACAGGGGGCTCTGCACTGACAACAGACAGCCTACCTGGAATTCCCTCTCTCTCTCTCTCTGTCCCTCCCCTGTTTGCTCTCTCTCTCTCAATAAATTAAAAAAATAAACAAACACAGAGTGGCTGGCACTGTGCTCCGTGTCAGGGGTGGTAATAAAAAAGCATCTGACACTCTTCTGCCTTTAGGAGGGTTCTGATAGAGATGAGAAGACAAGCCTTTTAGATCAAACAATTAGGAACCAATGTAAGAAAGAATTGTTTTTAAAGGCCAGGTTATGTAGTGCAACAGACAGTTTATGAAGCTCTAAAGGCTCCCCCCAATCATTTTTTCTGAATAGCAGCCCCAGGCTGTTCCTTCTGCATAAAGTTGCTGGCTTCCGAAGCAAGAGAATACATTTGAAATCAACCCTCTTTCCCTGGTCACAAATGAATGGACCATGACTCATAAGGCAGGCCATCTGTATAAGAGTCTACGTAATAGATGATATATGTGTGTACATGCGCGCGCATGCACACACACACACGCACACACAATCAGCTCCCCTGTCTATCTGGGAAGCCCAAATGAGCAATGTGTGAGGGAGTGCCCTGGCATCACTGAAACCGCCGCTGGATCGGGAAGGACAACAAGCCACTACTCCGATCTCTAGGACAGGTACACGTTCCAGTCTATGAAGCACACACACAGGGGGCTATTTAGCAGCTGAGTGAGTTTCCTGTGCTTCTTCAGCACTCATGTATCTTACAGTAAGACCCTGTTATTTAAGGTTATCCTAACAATCCATGCCATTCGTATGATACCGCTAATAAATTTTTTACAAGAGTCCAAGGAGGAATAAAATACCCAAATATGGTGCCAGACCTCAGAACACATAGAATCCTCAGAGAGGGTGCTGTATCTAGAACACATGAAGGACTCGGAAGGAGGGAGAAACCTCTCTAGGCGGGCACACAGCTAGAGCTCACAGGCTCTTTATGGGTGTTACGTCATGTATGCATCCGAAACAGATGGAAAACAGCATTAAGTGTATGACTTTGTCTTGAGGGACAGGTAGTGAAAACAGAAAATATAAAATAAATAGTGTTCCAAAAAGCAGGCGTCCATCTCATTTGAAAAGGAAATCTCAAACAAGAATGAAGGTAATATGGTTGGGGCGCCTGGGGGGCTCAATCGGTTGGGCGTCATGACCCGAAGTCAGCTCGGGTCATGATCTCACGGTTCGTGGGTTCATGTGCTGACAGCCATGTCAGGCTCTGTGCTGACAGCTCGGAGCCTGGAACCTGCTTCGAATTCTGTGTCTCTCTCTCTCTGCCCCTCTCCCGCTCATGCACTGTCTCTCTTCCTCTCAAAAATAAACATTAAAAAAATTTTTATGAATGAGGATAATATGGTGAACTGACATTCACAGCCATATGAATCAAAAAGAGGCTGTTCTTAATGGGAAATTGCCTCCAGGAAGATCAAGAATGCCTCTCTCCTGTTAGGGGCTAAGAGAGCAGCATCTAGAATAGTATTTGAATGTTCTCTTATCCCACCTTGCTTGAGCCTTGCTGCGTTATTTGTTCCTGACCCGGGCTTTTGAAATCATTTTATTATGTCCTTTAATTACTCCCTCCCTAAACTATCCTATGAAAACATAGAGAAAAAATAAACATTAAATTTAACTGTATTTTTTCTTACTAATGTATCAGACCACACTCAAAGCGACTTGAAAGTCTGAGAAAAAGTTATTTCCCACCACTGCAGCTCCAAACCGTAGTCAAAGAAGAGGAAAAGACAAAATATTTACCAGAAAATAAGTTTATGAACACCTGGCACTAAATAAAGGGAGTGGTGGGAGTTGCTGAGTTGGAGGCAAAAACTTCAAGCCAAGTCAAAAGAACAGGAAAAGGTTTGAACCTCTGACAGGATTATTGGCCTGGAGCAGGGAGTCAGCAGTTGTCCAAGAGTGAGTCTGCTCTGGAGAAAATTATTTCAACAGCTCAACTGGAAGGGGACTAAAGAGCACGGAGTGTGGGGCGTGACGAGGTACGAATATGGGACAGGGCAGGGTTATTAAATAATGGTATACTAAACGGTCAAGGGCTACGTCTACCTTTTTAGATAATAAAGTATTTTATCAACTACACATCCAATTATAAAATGAAATAATATGGCTTGTTTATTGGCTCTATTATGTCTCGTTTACACTAAGCCAAATCTTGAAGCTTTAGAATCTCTGTATTTCTTAAATTCCAATGCAATCGTATAGGATCAATTATAATAATTTCTGTCAATGAGAAAAAGCCTACATCCTTCTGCACAAGAAATGATGGCCCTTACCTCTTTGATGAAACTGTTAGAATATTTTATATTGAAAAATGGAAGCAGAAACCAAGCATGAGGTCACTACTTGTTTCGTTTTCATTTTAGCAAGAATAAAAAGAACCATCCAGCATTTTAAGAACCGAATTCTTGTCTCATGACACAGTTTATAGCCATCATGGCAAAATTAACGTATCCCCACTGTTAAAACAAGACAAAATGAAAAGGGATATTGTCTCTCCCTAACTACTGTTACCTAATGAAGTTCAGGTTTATCCTTACTGTTCCTTGACATAAAACACCAAGACGTGATAAATCACTAATCAGGAAATAAAAAATCCAAATGGAATGTAAGAGATAGTCCTAACTGCTTTCCAGAACATAAGACTGTTTATTCTAGAACATCAAAAGGTTGGGGGCAGAGAGGGGAAATCAGTAATTCTCCAATGGCACTTTCCACAGCAAACTGAAGAGAATGAGCTTTTACAAATGCAAGAAATAGAACATATTTTTAAAATAAAAACACCATTCATCTCCCTTTGTATATGTAATCCCTTTAAAGCTAGGATTATTGTTCTCTTCCCTAGAAAAACCTTACTAACCAGGCCTTCAACCCGTGGCTTGACCACTTCTAATATGTAATATACATATTGTTTTAATCAAATAATAGAGAAATTGTTGGGAACCTATGAAAAAGTATTCAGCCATTTTAGTGTTAAAAACACTTTACTGCAGTAGCTTCCGTAAACATATACTTGAACACATGCGTTCTAACACCACAGTGCTGCTAGATCTCATGTCTCAAGTTTAGTTTTTTTCTTTCCACGTTTCCCAGGACAGGGTCTGACATGAAGGCAAATACTTAGCTCTCAGCAGGGATACAGCTGGAGCCCCGCTGAAACCCTGCTCTCAGCTGCCCCCTAGCTGCTGGAAATGAACTTGGAAGCTGACACAGTACAGAAATACACCAATTATGTCTGAGAGAATAAGCTGAATACAAGCAACTTTGCGAAAAGGCAGAAATCATGAGATGCCATTGCTAAAGCGTGCCAAATCTCCTAGTGTGCTTGACTGTCAGCTAAACATATGTGACATTTTTTATTTCTCTAACTTTCAAGTGTCAAAGTTCTCAGATTCTAAAATTCTGAGCCACTAGATGTTTATGCCTTAGGAAAAGAATTAATTGACAACTTTAGATAGTGGTGACCATAACCAGAGAATGAACTGTTTGCTCCATGGTTGACATACACTTATTTCTAACAGCGCCGCCTCACCATTCTTTAAACAAACAAATAAATAAATAAAAATTAAAAAAAGGAAAACCTAGGATGCAAACCACCCAGGAATTCTAACTCATTCACGTGTTCCTGGTTTCACACACAGCACTATAACAGAGAGATTCACATGGCCACTCTATGAAAAATGTTTTTTCATTTTCTAGGAAATGTAGATGGAATGCAAACAGCCACGCGTCTTATTTCCATTTAGTCTAACGTTTGTAACATCCAAGAGCGCTGATGCACACATTGCCTTTTGCATCCACTGACTAACACATTCTTCGTCAAGAGAAGTAAATGTCTGAGGGAGACGGAAAAGAAGAACAGGAAGTCTTAGGGACATAAATCCAAACATTCCATCTCAATATATTGACCAGCCCATGACCTTAATCCCATATTTGGGAAGTCTATTTCTCAATAACCAAACAGGACTGCCACCACAAAGCCCAAACAGATATGTATTTTTTTTTTATATTCTTACTTCTCTTGTTAAAAACAAACAGTATGGATGTAGGAATGACAAAGAGTAAAACTCAATAAGCTGTTCGTATTTTCCAAATCTGTGGCCTGACATCAGTTCCATGTTCATCTTCACAATGCTCAACAGCTCCGAAACAAGCACGATTACGGAATTGAGGCAGAATGTTCCAGTCATAATTTATTCATACTGTTTTCTATCTCTCACATCTTTTTGCCTCCTACAGTATTTAGCTCAATGCCCTGCATGCAGCAGGCACTCAAAACATCTTCTTCATGTCAGCATAAAATAAAAATAAAATCACTTAAAAGTTGAAGAAAAACAACCATCTTCTTCATTCTTTCAAAGTGAACTTACCCTTCGAAATGACACGACATAGAATGTATCTCCCCTTCTGCGGATGGCTTCAAAGAAGTCTTGGTAACTTCTGGGTGATGCATAGTACACTTGCAGCTCACTCCCTGAGTTCCTACTGAAGGAAGAACAGGGCAAAGTGCTCTTAAACCAGAAAATTTCATATCCTCTCAAAAATAACCCCCGTGCTAAGGCTATGTCTGAATTGTAAGAATCTCTCCACCAAAATATTAGCAGTATTTGGCAGTAATTTTTATAATAACATTTTGAAAAGCCCAAGGTCAAGATATTTGTAAGATCCAATTCACTAAAGCGAGAACTCTCATTTCTGAATGGAAAGCTCTAAAAAGTGCCACTCAAGTTCACTCCAAAGCAGGTAAAGATAGTAAGAGTATCAGAAAATAGATTTCTGCATTGGTCTGCATGATTTTAAATTTTTGGTACTAGACATTCAGTCGTAGGGAAAGTTACTTCTCACCGCTCTGTCAAATCTGTGAAGGCATGCTTGTCTATAAGGCTGTGTGAAAGGTGGGGAGAGGGTGGGATTTGGAAACAGACAGACAGCTTTGAATTTCTTCTCCACTCCTCAAGGGGGCATTCTTGGGGAAATCAATCTCTGGGCAACCTCAGTTTCCTCATCCTTAAAATGAGGATAAGCAGATAAACCCGCAGGATGGCTGAGGCCAGAGACGTTACATACGTGAAGTACCAAGCATGGGCCCCCAGATTTGTAGGAGTCACTAAACAAATGCCAGCCACAGATACCACAAGTAACACGTCAGTGCCTTCAGAAAATCAGAACTAAAATTACAATACCGCAGCCACAACATAGCCCCAAAAGATCCACTCAGGTGATTTTGATGTAGTTTTTAATATTCTCAGTCTTTTACTACTTAGTACAATAAGCCAAAGCCCAGAAGTTAAAGGAGAATTTTTAAAAATGCTTCATTTTTCTCCAGACAACCTATGTTTTATGTTCTTCTATGTCTTCTATCAAACTTTAAGAGGAAAAAAAGCCAGATCTAAAAGGAAAATTATAAATGAGTCAAAAGAACTTTCTTTGAAATAATTCCATTTGCTCATTAAACCACTTCTACCCATATTATTTTGAATATACAACCAATTCTTTTTTTTATTATTTTTTTAATGTTTGTTTATTTTTGAGAGAGAGACAGAGAGGGGGAGGGGCAGAGAGAGAGGGAGACACAGAATCCGAAGCAGACTCCAGGCTCTGGGCTGTCAACACCGACCCCAACGCAGGGCTCGAACTCACAAACTGTGAGATCATGACCTGAGCCGAGTCGGATGCTCCGCTGACTGAGCCCCCCAGGCGCCCATGAATATACAATCAATTCTTATTCTACATGGTAGTTATGTTCTACAAAGTCGGTGTGAACAGTGAATTAGTAAATACTGAACCGTTCTCCGAAGGGAAATAGCAGGTTAGGTTCCCACAAGCCCCTACCTACAGCACTTTTGTCAACTGATTAATCTATAACCGTGTTTCGGGTTTCCGTTTAAAGGCATCTTCTTCAACGTATCCCGCTCATGCATTAACGCTGAACTCAAGGTCACCAGCACTGTAACTTATGCCTGAATGAACTTATCTAATATGTACGTTTTCCCATATGGCACAACACAACCTTTTTTTTTTTCTTAACTTTATCTATTTTGAGAGACTGAGCGCAGGGAGCAGAGAGGAGGGAGCAGAGAGAGAGAGACAGAGAGACAGAGAGACAGAGAGACAGAGAGACAGAGAGAGAATCCCAAGCAGGCTCCGCACTGCCAGTGCAGAGCCCGACGTGGGGCTGGAACTCACGAACCGTGAGGTCACCACCTGAGTGGAAATCCAGAGTCGGTCGCTTACCTGAGCTCCCCAGGCGCCTTGGCACCACACAGCCTTCTTAACCAGTAACAGGTAGCCCTGCAGGTCTGTGCTTCAGGGCCATTTTAGACCGTGAAATCACCAATAAAAAGCACTAACATGTGAAAAATTTGGCACTAAACAAACTTCAGAAAGAAATCTGTTTACAGCATGAGCCGAGTCGCCTTGCTAATTGTTAACTGAGCCTCACACAGGACCGTCTATGCATGTTTGCAAATGGCCACAACAGCCTCCTGGGTACCGATTTGGGGGCACAAATACATTTTAGAGAGTAGGTAGACTCACTGATACAGAATACCCAGGTAACTCATTTAGAACCCATTTTTAAAGACTTTTTCTTAAAGCAGTTTTGGATTCACAGCAAACCTGATAGGAAGATGCAGGGATTAAACACATTTCTGACTAGTCACAAAGTGACAATGCCGTCACAGTGATGCATCACAAAGTGACCATATTTTTAAATATGCATATAGAGAATGAACAAAATATCCTGATCACTGGAGACGTTATCAGTCACTATACATATCTGAATTACCTGTTTCTACAAGATAACACTGTATCTCCCGATTCTAAACATTCGTGGTCGCCGATATACTGCTCACTGCCACTTAACAGTGATTCTCAGTTAACGGGATAATGCACAGTTTTCACCTCGCACTGGGCGTGTGTTCTCCATTCCAGGCACGCGGTCCGACACGCAGCTGGTGCTCAGTAAACGTGAAATTAATAGTAAATAAACTGTCAGCTCTATGTCTGTGGGAGAGAGCTACACACAGAACCTGAGGCTCTTGCCTTCACTGCAGGGACACAGCCATCAACGTATCCAGCTTTTGAACATGCCAAGGACCATGCGAAGTGTTCCAAATAAATTATGCAATTTGATCATCAACTCTGTGAGGCCAAAACTGTGTAGATGAGGAAACTTTAAGGTAACCTGCTTGATCCACAGAGCAGGTGAGTGGCAGAGATGTTCTGAGCTCTGCCCAATTCAAAAGCTAGCAGCTTAGCCATGACACTGTCTTGCCTCGCGTAATACCATTCCTTTTAGTTAGATATGTTTGGTCCAAACAGGTCGACCTTAGATACAGCACTCCTTCTGGATTCCTTCAAAATCTTAAGCAGCATCAGTGTAGTGAGAAATGCATTTTACGTCAAACAGGTCTGGGGCGCCTGGGTGGCTCAGTCGGTTAAGCGTCCGACTTCAGCTCACGTCATGATCTCACGGTTCGTGGGTTCAAGCCCCGCGTCGGGCTCTGTGCTGACAGCCAGCTGGGAGCCTGGAGCCTGCTTCAGATTCTGTGTCTCCCTCCCTCTCTGACCCTCCCCTGCTCACGCTGTCTCTCTCTCTCTCTCTCAGAAATAAAAATAAAGCATTAAAAAAAAAAACGTAAGTCAAACAGGTCTGATGCTGGTTCTGCCTCCTGTTGGTTCGACGACTCTGGCTTAGAAAAACTAAGTGACTTTCCCGGTTTTTCTCTACATAAAGTAAGGACTGTGGTATCTACACTCCAAGTCATTATACAGATTTAGGAATAAAATGCATGTAAAGCACTCAGCAAGACACCTGGCACATTCATAAAATAACACTCCCTTCCCCTTGGCTCATGAAACAGATGCAAACCAAGCACAAGAGTTACAGATGTTTAAATCGTACAGCAAAATTATGACTGAACAGCATTCTGACTAAATCTGTATTTAAGGAATCAGAGTTAACCTCTTGAACTTACCTGGGTTTACTCTGACTGCTCAGAAGCAGAGCATTATGGGAACTAACAGAAAAGTCACTGGTGACAAGTTTAATTAAGATGGAAGGGAAATGTGCTTTTCAACTTCACTAAAATAATAGGTATTTAAAATTCCTCAGCCAAGAACTTCCACACTTTCTTACCTGATCCTCGAAGTTTCTGTGTATTGGACAGCCATGAGCTGAGAATTTGAGCCCTGTTCCAGAGCACCCTAGGAGAAAAAAAAGATTTAATGCCATATAATGAAATCATAGGAGGGTCTTCCTGTAGTGACGCGCTCTACATTTACTAAACTCTCATTAAAATATTCACATACTGGGGCACCTGTGTGGCTGTCGGTTAAGCGTCCGACCTCGGCTCAGGTCCTGATCTCATGGTTCATGAGTTTGAGCCCCACATCTGGCTCTGTGCTGACAGCTCGGAGCCTGGAGCCTGCTTCAGATTCTGTGTCTCCCTCTCTCTCTGCCTCCTTCCCTGCTCATGCTCTGTCTCTCTCTCAAAAATAAGTAAACATCAAAAAAAATTAAAGTGTTCATATGCTTTTTTTTCTTCATGAGTATTCTGACAGGTTAGGTTCATATAAATAAACACCAGCAGAGAGATTAGAACTCTTCTGGTCACACTCTGGGCTGACGGAGGAGTCTTAAGGAGATTAAAACTTTAAGGCATTTCCCATAAAGTTTAAAAATACAGCCCAAGAGCTTAGTCCAATTACCACAAGTTTTATGACCAAGTCATACAAATATTACTGAACACATAACAACTTATGTTTGTCTAAAGTAATTATTCTCCCATTGCAAGTTCCTGAAGTGTGAAAGGTCCATAATGAAACTAGATCCTATTGTTTACTGAATTAAACACAAAGATCTTCATGCCAAAATGTACCTATGGACGAAGCCAGCGTTAAAGAGATTAAAGAGAAAAGCGATGACTTTCCTGGCCAGAGAACACCCCAGTCTGGAACCTTAGTGGCCCACATATGCTATACTGGGAACCTGTCTTCTTCTAGCATCTGCTTTGCACTAAGCCTTCTTCTACTCCTTGCCAGTTTTGTAGACTAATCTTCTGAAGAGTTTTTTTAAGGGGATCAGACAGAGTTCAAGGGTACATTACTAATTATTAGGTTAGGAAGTGACCTTATTACCACCCTGTCAACGTGGCTTAAGTAAGTGTATAAGACTATTAGCATTTGTTCATTACTGTATCCATCCATCCATCCATCAGTAATGGAACTTTTTATGGAGCACCTATGACATGCACTGGGAAGACAGACATGTGGAAGCAATACAATGTGATAAATGCTCAAAGAGAAGAACATACAAAGAGTTAAAGGGAAAAAAAAAAAAAGAGGGAACAATTTTGTTTAGTGAATGAAACCAATATGCAGGGATGAATACTGGGCTTCCAATTTCTGACTCTGTAAAAAGTCAAGGATCTTATTGTATGAAAATCTACTGTAGGTCTTACATATAATAGGTATTCAATAAATACTTTTTTACTTATTTGTTTTTTAATGTTTATTTTTGAGAGAGAGAACTCTTATCTCACAGGTTCATGAGTTCTAGCCCTGCATGAGGCTCTGCACTGGGATTCTCTCAGTCTCTCTCTGCCCCTTCCCTGCTCGTGCTCTCTCTCTGAAAATAAGTAAACCTAAAATATAAATTTACTGACATACCCTTCAATAAATGCTTTTTATATACATATTTTTAACATTTATTCATTCAGGAGGGATGCGGTGGGGGGAGACAGAATCTGAAGCAGGCTCCAGGATCACAGCTGTCAGCACAGAGCCTGACTCAGGGCTCAAATTCAAACTGCAAGATTATGACCTGAGCCAAAGTCAGACGCTTAACCGAATGAGCCACCCAGGCGCCCCTCAATAAATGCTTATTAAACAAAAATTTTAAAAGCATCGGAGCGCCTGGGTGGCTTAGTCGGTTAAGCGTCCGACTTTCGCTTAGGTCATGATCTCACGGTTCGTGGGTTCGAGCCCCGCGTCAGGCTCTGTGCTGACTGCCAGCTCAGAGCCTGGAGCCTGTTCCAGTCTGTGACTCCCTCTCTCTCTGACCCTCCCCTGCTCACGCTCTCTCTCTCTCTAGAAATAAATAAAAAAAAAAAACCTTAAAAAAATAAAACAAAAAATTTTAAAGCATCAATAAAATGAGGGGCGCCTAGGTAGCTCAGTCGATTGAGCGACCAACTCTTGATTTTGGCTCAGGTCATGATCTCATGGTTCATGGGATCCAGCCCCGCGGTGGGCTCTCCACTGACAGCATGGAGCCTGCTTGGGATTCTCTCCTTCTCTCTCTCTCTGCCCCTCCCCCACTCAGGAACTCTCTCTTGAAATAAACAAACATCTAAAAAATATATATATCGATAAAATAAAAAAGGAAAAAAGAAAAACAAATACAAGATAGTAAACTTACTGATAGTTTATGAGTAGTAAATAAAGCCAAAATTAAATTACAGCTAGCTGATAAAAACAATGTTTAAAATTAAGAGATTAAATACCTGGTGAATTTTTTAATTAAATTTTTAAAATATATTTTTATTTATTTTTGAGAGAAAGAGAGAGAGGGAGAGAGAGAGCATGAGCAGGGGAGGGGCAGAGAGAGAGAGAGGGAGACACAGAATCTGAAGCAGGCTCCAAGCTCCGAGCTATAGGCTCAGAGCCTGATGTGGGGCTCGAACTTGTTCACAAGCTGTGAGATCATGACCTGAGCTAAAGTCAGAGGCCCAACTGACTAAGCCACCCAGGTTCCCCTATTTTACCTTCATTTTGAACAGTATGTTCACTAATTTGCCCCTTTACCGTTTCTCGACTCACAATCTAGAAAAAGTAGAATTATGAAATGGGACAAGCCAAATCAAGGATATAATGCTTAAGAGAGCTCACATATTTCAAAGAAATGTCAATTTGTCAAATGTACATAATATCTTGACTAGTGGAACCTTTTAAGCACCTGGAAAAAGTGGCTGTGAGGACAAAGAGGGTTGAAAGAAGGAGAGAAGACTAAGCAGAGTAGGTACAGCTCTCCACACTAAGAAAGGGGATCCGAGGAAACCCTCGTGTGTTTTGGTACTGACAACAGCATAAGCAGAATGATCCTTCTCCTTCGGACCAAGAAGTTCTTTCACCCTTGACAAACAGAGAGTCGTCCCTGGCATTCCTGTCTCTGTAACAGCGACGAGTCCCACAATTCTGATCGTTGTCTAAGCTCATTACAGAAAAGATATACACCCCAGATTGCAAAGAGGTAATACCTGAGATGAAACTACATGTCTCCTCATGTTTAAAGGCTGTGAGATAAAAACAAAATTATCTTCTTTACGTTAATTCCTTCAAGATCAGAGGTGCCTGGGTGGCCCAGCTGGTTAAGTGTCTGACTCTTGCTTTCAGCTCAGGTCATGATCTCTGGTTCTGGCCCAGAGTCCACGTGGGGCTCAGCACTGGGCACAGAACCTGTTTAAGAGTCTCTGTCTCTCTCTCTCTCTCCTTCTGCCCTTCCCCTACTCATGTTGTCGCTCTCTCTCAAAATAAGATAATTAAAACTTTAAAATATAAATATAGATGAGACCAAGTCCCTCCCCTGTGCAAACCTCTCAAAGCTGTCTTCTCAAACCTGGGATGAACCCACAGTTCTCACCGCAGCCTCAGGTCTGACGTGAAGTAGCCCCCGCTGCCCCTCCGATGTCAGCTTCTCCTCCTCTATCCCCGGATACTGCAGTCCAGCCTTACACAACTTCTCCATGTTCCTGAAATACCACACTGTTTCCATCTGAGGGTCTTTATATTTGCTGTTCCAGTTTTCTGGAAGCTCTTTCTCTAGATTCTCCCTTGGATCTTTACACTGTTTAATTCATTTTTTTGCTATTGTGAAAGCAATGTTCTCACCAATCCTTTTTCTTTTTCCTGAACACACAGGAAAATGACACTGGCCTCACCTACTGCAAGGGAGGCTGTGAAAAGTGATAGTTTTAGCCAATTGAACATTGGCTAAGTCCAGGCTGGATCCCTAAAACATTCTGCATAATCTTCCAAGCTCTCTCTTCCCCACACCCAAAGCTAGAAGCAAAGAATTTCAAGTTGTTGAGGTCACAGAGTAGAAAGAATCTGGATTCCTTAGTCATTGCTGAAAAAAAAGAAAAAGAAAAAAAGAAAAGGCATTCTAGGGGCACCTGGGTGGCTCAGTCAGTTAAGCGTCCGACTTTGGCTCAGGTCATGATCTCAAGGTTTGTTGAGTTCGAGCCCCGCGTGAGGCTCTGTGCTGAGAGCTCAGAGCCTGGAGCCGCTTCAGATTCTGTGTCTCCTTCTCTCTCTGCCCCTCCCCGACTCACACTGTCTCTCTCTTTCTCAAAAATAAACATAAAAAAAAAAAGGCATCCTAGAGAGCCATATCAGACTTGGTGTGGGTAGGCAACAAATTTCTATTCCATTAAGCTGCTGAGATGTTGAGGTTAGTGGTTTACAACAACTAGCATTAACTACCCTGGCAATTACTATACTGACCCCTCTTTAGAGAAGCCTTCTCCAACCATTCAATCTAAAATGGCCACCCATCTCTCAATTTAACCTCTAATCTCCAACCCTATTTTTATTTTTGGAGAATTCCTAACTTTGAATATATTTAAATATTTTTTTCTTTTGTGATGAGAACTTTTAACCATAGACTCGCTTACTAACTTCCAAATATATGATACAGTATTAACAACTATAGTCACCATGCTGCACACTACATCCCTGGAACCTTTTTATTTTGTAACTAGGAATTTGTACCTTTTGACCATCTTCACCTGTTTCACCCACCCTGCTACCCCCCAGCCTCTGTACATGTTCTTTGTATCTAGGAGTTCAGTTTCTGTTTTCATTGTTTTTTTGTTTTGTTTTGTTTTGTTTTTACAGATTCCACATATAAGTGAGATCATGTAGTATTTGTCTTTGTCTACTTTCACTTTACTCGTTTACTGGGTGTCTCTCCCACCAAAATGCAGGCTCCATGAAGGCAGGGATTTTATCATACTCACTGCCATACCCCAGGACCTAGAACCGTAGCTGGCTCATCATCACTACCACAGGTGCTGTGGGGAGGGAGCGTATCAGCGCCAGCTGGCAGTCTAAGCACTTCAGAAGCAACAGTGAATACCTGATGGATGCTGCAAGGACCACACACGGTGCTGTGCGGTAAAACCACATCAAGATGGAAGCCCAAGGGGGGCGCCTGGCCGGCTCAGTCGAGAGAGCATGTGACTTACTCTGATTTCGGGATTACAAATTCGAGCCTCACGCTGAGTACAGAGATTACTTAAAAATAAAATCTTAAAATAAAATCTTAAAAAAAAAAAAAAAAAAAAAGATAGAAGCCCAACTAAATAGGTTCTAAGTATGAGCCGTCATTAACCTGTAGCCCCACGTGTCTTAAGTTCACAATGTGCTCCTTGAAGATGTGCCTCCACGTCCAAGCTGGCCTGTTTCAACAGCCTCCTTTTGGAACAGAGGAGACGAACAGTAGTATTTATCATACCATGCGTATTAAATTCCTGTGCCCTACAAGCCCACGGGCAGGAAGCCCGGGCTTGAAAGTAAACGTGAGGGAGAGAGCAAGCGGAGGCCCCTGCCCGAGCTGCGGAACCCAGGCGGACGGCGCCAGTGCCAGTGCCAGCCGCATGTGGGGCAGCAGGACGCAGAGGGAAGCGACTGAAGTTCAAGTTTCCCACGCTTCCCGGGGAAGAAAGCAAGCCATCTGAGGGGAGACGTCCAACAGACGTGCCAACTGCTGTTTAGCAACAAGCACAAACCAACCTGAAGAATGCGGGTCCTCTGCTGATGGTTCGTCATTCTTCTGGACTTGGTCCTTTCCACTTCATGCCTGTGGACCCATCCTCGAAGCTCATGGTTTAACCTATAAAACAGCTTTGTTAAACACGCTTCAGAGAAACAAACATCTCACTCTAGGTTGAAAATGAATTTAATCATATTCTACAGGTCCAGTTCATTTTAACATGACATGCATTTTTATACAGTAGCCTCCTTGATCGTGAGTTCAAAAATTTTTTTAAAAAAATAGCTAAATACCTTCCAAACATAAATACTGGATGCACAAGCTTTTTCACGAGGAAAATATTTCCTATTTCTGCCCCTGGGCTACATAAACACCAACACTGGCCACACGGGAGAGCATTCAACAAGCCACAGGATCCTGACAGCAAGAGGTGCATTAAAGCCTTTGAAAACCATGCTCTTTGGGGAGAAGGGACAGAATGAACTCAATGGCTCAGGAAAAACTAGTGGGAGAGGGGGGGATAAATTTCAGTGCACTATAACCCAATATGTCCAACACTGGGAATATAAAAGGTACTAGTTCAAATACCAGTTCCCTTTACTGTGCTTACTTGCACGGCAGCTGTGAAGATGTGAGGCTCTGCTCACTTACCTACAGTTGATTACTACTTAAAGAACTGAAGGAGCCTTTGAGGCTCAAGGATAAAATCCAAAATCACAGGAAAATATTCAAGGGAAAAGGAGACAGGGAAGGGTGAAGGCGCCCTCATGGGACCCTATCTCCAGAATCGCCACTCTTCACCCTGGTACCTTCCTAACTTGGAGAGAAAGGTGCATGAATGTTACCACCCTCAAGTCTAACATCCTGAATGTTTACATTAATATCACTCAGATAAGGCATGCTTAAGTAGGCAACCCCAAGACCCTCACCCAAGACAGACCCGTCGCCATCTTTATCAGGTTGGTGGGGAAACGGGACAACAACTGACATGCCCATGGTCACCGACAAATAATCAGAGATCCTCTCTGCCACTTCATCAATCTGCACAAGTAGTTTTCGAGCCTTCAAAGCTAACCCCAGGAGCGCACTCGGTGCTTCTGCAGCCACCTACAGCACTCACCTGAGAGATTCTGTGGTGTTGATCGGAGGCCGACAAGGAGGGGGAGGGATGTAGAGGAGCGGCTCTTCGCTTAGCACCATTAGGGCCTTATCGTTCGAAACAGAATGATCATATCTGGAAAACACATGCAGAAAATACATCTCCTCAGGTCTTAAATTCCTTAAGGAGTCTGCTATAAGAAAATCATCACTAGCATTAACATTTCATGGAAATAAAAACAATACTAAGTAGGACATACAGCAAGACAGAAGCAAATGCAATAGAAAAGGAGGGAGTGGAGGCCACAGAGCACAAATGTCACTTTCCCGTTTTCTGCAGACACTGCCAGGGTAACTGTCACTTACCCAGCCACTGTTTATGGAGCAATCGCTACATATCAAAAACTAAGGAAACGACGGTAACACATGGCCCGTGTGTTCAATGAGCTCAAGGCATATGCAGAGCTGCTGGGACACAGGTGACACAGCAATGGGGGAAGCAAGGGGACAGACCCACTAACTCATAGAAAGACAGTATCATGTGACCAGGACTAACGTTTCACGGTCATGCACAATTCTGTGATAACAAAACTGAAGTCTCCCGAAAACTGTGCATGACAGGGGCAAGGAGAAGCATAAACACTTGGTGGCAGAGAACTGAAAGTGTTGAAAAGCTGAATATAAATTTTAGAATCACGGGGCACCTGGGTGGCTCAGTCGGTTAAAGGTCTGACTCCTGATTTCGGCTCAGGTCATGATCTCACGGTTCGTGGGACTGAGACCCATGTTGGGCTCTGAACCGTCAGTGCAGAGCCTGCTTGGAATTTCTCTCTGTCTCTCTGCCCCACCCCTGCTCACATGTATGCTCCCTCTCTCTCTCAAATTAAACTTTTTTTAATTTAGAATCATGAAAAATATCTGAATCACTAATAAAACATCTAAGTAAAGTTAACCAATTACTCCATTAGCTTCAAAAAATCCACTTTCCTAACAGTCACACTAATCTACTGCAGGGGAGTTCACATCAAGGGTGCGATGGAGGGAGCACAACCCAGGCTGTCAATCAGAAGTCGAGCCGCATTTTTTTTGTTCTCACTCTGCTACTTTAACCTTTCTCACTAAAAAATCTGAGATCTGGTCTTGAATTTCTTGACACTCATGCTCTGGATTCAGAAAACATGGTATGCTAAAACTCGAAAAGAAAAAATGTAAACACAAAACTGGACATGGCTAGATTCAGTTTTCATTAATTCATCCAACCAGTATTTACTACACCCCAACCATGTGCCCGGTACTGTGCTAGGAATCCACCAGGGAACGAGAAAAATGAAGTCTCTCCCCTCAAAGACCTTAAGGGGGAAGGTGGACCAACTATAAGGGAACAAACACATTAAATAAATCCAAAGAAAGACTCTAGCTAGACAGAGAAAACCAGTGGCAGGAGCTACTCTGGATGAAATGGTCTGAGGGGTCGGTACTTAAGTCAAGGCCTAAAGGATGAGAAGGAGCCAGTGCTGTGGAAACTGGGGAGACTGTGCTCCAGGCAGAGGCAGTGGGGAGGACGCGGCCTTGCAGTGGGGAGGACGTGGCCTTAAGGAACTTACAGAAGAGCACTCACCGGCTGAAGGGCTGTGAGCAGGTGCGGGAGGCACAAGACAGGCGAGGAGGCAGCCCGGACTACAATGAGGAATTACTGAACACAATGAGAAGCTCACAGAAGGCTGTTAAGGAGAGGAGTGATGCATTCCAGGTTACGCCTGCACCCTGCCACTGCACCAAAACCGGATTCGAAGGGGAAACTGGGAGGCCAGTCAGGAGACGGCTTTAATCCAGGCGAGAGCGGAGACAGCACGACTCAGGTGCTGCCGGTGAAGACGGAGGGCAGTGAACGGACGGAAAGAGCATCAATGGCACTTGCTGAAAGGGAGGAATCGGGTTTCTGGCTGAAGCAGCAGCAGAACGAGGAAGACCTGTACAGCAGTGGCTGGAAGACGAACAAGGAGAGGGGCGCAGAGGCCCGCCATGCGTGGGTGAAGTCTGACATGTTAAAACAAGGAATGTCAAGGAAACTCCGGGGCAGAGGAGTCTGGAGACTCAGAAGGGGCATCCGGGTGGGAAACCTAAGTTTGCGAGTTGTCAGGATACAGAGATATGGGCTGTGTGCTAAACTACGGACGAGTCACACAGGCAGAAAGGAAACTAAAAAGTCCGCAGTTCCAGATGATGAGATTTGGAGGAGCCCAGAAATAAGACTGAAGCAGAGGCTCGTGAAAAAGACAGAAACTGAAAAATGGAGCAACACAGGGAAGAATTTTTCAAGGCAGGAGGGATCCACACGGCCAGATGTGGAGGAAAGATCAAGATGAAGACAGAAGTTTCCACTGAATGTGGCAACACTGAAATAACTGGCCTCTTTGACAAAAATAATTTTGGCAGAGCAGAAAAGTAACTTCAGGAGATTAAAGTTACAGACTGCTGTGTAAGCCACACACAACAGCTGAGGACATGCGGACCATTCCTCCTGCAAGTTACACCAGAACATTCTCCATGTCCTCTCTTCTGCCACTGGGACCTACCATGTTTGGAATAACACAGAGATGGCAGCACACAGGTAGTAACTGCACACATGTCACCCTGAAATTAAGTGTTGAGGGAGAAGGGGAAAAAACCCTCTCCTTTGTACTTGGGAAACTAAATGCCTGTAAGAGGAGGCTGTTTGCTACACTAAAAGCAAACAAAAAACACCACCACCACCACCAAAGACCTGTCTCGTGTGCCTTAGTTTAAAAAAACCAGGTCTTTGGGGCGCCTGGGTGGCTTAGTCGGTTAGGCGTCCGACTTTCGCTTAGGTCATGATCTCGCGGTTCGTGGGTTCGAGCCCCGCGTCAGGCTCTGTGCTGGCTGCCAGCTCGGAGCCTGGAGCCTGTTTCGGTCTGTGACTCCCTCTCTCTCTGACCCTCCCCTGCTCACGCTGTCTCTCTCTCTCTCTCCTAGAAATAAATAAAACATTAAAAAAAAATTAAAAAAAAAAAAAAAACAGGTCTTTGTACTTAGGAAAATACAGCTTCTGTCCATCGGAGAAGTATAAAGTTACTTTTGAAAATATATTTTTTATTTAGAACTTTATTTCCATATGATAAGCCCTAGTATAATGTCTGCACATCTTTGCTAACCGGCTTTGTTCTATTAGCCAAAAATATTCTTTGGAAACGAAAAAAAAAAAATCTGATAGGAGAAATATCAGGAAGGACCTGGGTGGGGCTGAAGGGAAAAGAAAAGGGAGAGTCTGAGCCAACGTGCAATCTGGAGACAATCAGATCCACACTAACCCTGAGGAGGCCCGCGTTCTAGGCCGCTTGCGAACACATCACATCGACAGAAAACATCTCAGCAAATAAGTCACTAAAGCAGAGGACAGTGGTAGGGAGGGAGAGTTACTGAGGATTCCTGGAATAAAGACCGGTTGTGTCTGATGCCTTATACACGGGGTAACCTCCGCTTCCCATTTATCCAAGACAGCCCTGGACTTGGCCTGATGGCCCCACATAATTATTACTTAGCACTACAAGTATCCCAGCATATTCATGCTTACAAGTGTCCCAGTTTGGTTCACAAATTGTATGGTTATCTTGTATTATATCACACATTTCTAAAACTGGAAACTTATGCAGTTAGTTACTAAATGATAAGAGAATGTAGTATTATAAATTATGGGATTATAATCTACTCATTTTGATTTGAACCAGTTCTCAACATTCTCCTCAAAAATGACACAGATTAAAAAGTAAATGCATTAAAAAATAAAGTGCCATGGCTATGTATGGCACTTCAAACCACTTAAAATTCAGTGCAAAACAGATTCGTACTTGCCACTTTTGAATGTTTCGCAAACAGTTTTGGTATCTTCTATTCAGGATTTATAATGATAAAAGTAAAAATATCAAATCAGTGGACTGATACCTATTTGAATTTCCCAAGCTGCTCAATAATGTTAGATATTTCAAGAGATTTGCATGCAGCCAAAAATCCATAACCGTGTCCATTTATTTTCCCTCAACACCAGGCAGCTGGCACAGGCCATGCTGACTTTGGGGTGGGGGACAGCAGATGGCTTGCATTTCATATACTATTTTGAAAGCTGACAAATTACAGCCTGAAGGTCATTCACATACCTAGGTCGGACTAGGATAACCAGAGCACTGTGTTCTCCATGTCACCTTACTCTACCACAGACAGGTCGAGGAAGGTTTCTTCTGGGGTTAGTTCAAAGTAAAGAATATTCTAGTGAAGGCTCCCTGACTTAATTGCAAGTATACAATCAATAGCTTGTTCCACTTTTTAACAACCAGCAATATGTACCTAAAGGGCACAGTCTCCACTCTCATAAATCCAAACACTATCACATTTGGGATGCGACTTTTGATGGATCTCACGTGGATGACAACAGGACTCAAAATTACATGTAGAACATGTGGGGCAAACTTGGACAAATTACTTTGAAAATGACAGAAACTATTAAACTCTAGCAATGTTTAAAGACACTGTTAAGTGAGCACTAAGCTCAGTAGGTCAGCAGTACAGTTAAATTGGGCATGTAAAAAAAAAACAAGAAATCTTATATAACATTTCCCCACGTTACAGCGCCCATCACGTGCGCTGCGCGGAGCTAACCGCCAAGTAGTTCTCTGGACCCTCTGCCACACTCAACATCGTACTTTACACACTGCAGATTCCTACAACCGTGAACACTAGTGTTTTTCCTAGGAAGGCTAAATGGACACAAGCCCATAGGACTACGGGAATAATTTCGTTCAGTGGTCTGGCTGTCACAGCAAAAATGTTTTTAGAAAGTATTCCCCGACAGCTCTTGGCCAGAATTACAAGTAAACAAATCTCCGGGGGTCCCACAGCACTACGCTGTGCAGCGGCTGCCACGCTGGGGTCTCCCTTTGCCCTGCTGATCAAGGACCCAGCTCCACTCGGCCCTAGTGACACAGGGAAACGAAGATAAAAAGTATACAGCTTTAAAACCGTCCATTACAACCTTCTCCTAGTTTACATAACACGGACCTTGTGTTTTCATAAAATTTTAAGTCCTTTACTGTTGACAAGCCATACAGACGTTTACTAAGACAATACTAAACTGTAACAAGCGGGGCGCCTGGGTGGCTTAGTCGGTTAAGCATCCGACTTTCGCTTAGGTCATGATCTCGCGGTTCGTGGGTTCGAGCCCCGCGTCGGGCTCTGTGCTGACTGCCAGCTCAGAGCCTGGAGCCTGTTTCAGATTCTGTATCCCCCTCTCTCTCTGACCCTCCCCTGCTCACGCTGTCTCTATCTCTCTCTCCTAGAAATAAATAAAAATATTTAAAAAATAAAAAAATAAAAAAAATAAAAAACTGTAACAAGCGAGGAGATTCAACAAAGGTCACAATAAACACAATTTATAAAAATAAATTCCGCCATATTGCATTCATCACAAGACGACACTATTAGATACATTATATTGTAATCATAGGATAAAAAACTGTATTAGAAACATTACGTATAATGTAATGTGTATATGCCGTATGCGCCTCAGTGTCTATAGAAGTGCACATAAACTGAGATTTTAAGGCCACATCTCTACAAGAATTTCAAAACGGAGAACAGTTTCAAAAAGTAAATTTACTCTCAGAACTGACCTTCACAGTAAAATTTATCAAGGGCCTCAATAACTTGTTTGTTCTACTAATTAAAATCGTGCATCAAGAATCTAGACATTAAGTTATACTAGATCATTCTCTACGGCAGTTTCCTTAAATCATCGTGACAGACGGAGACATGCCATCTTCTAACCTGTAGCTGGTTTTCTGGATGATACCATCTGATGTGTCTTGCACCTCTTTAGCAGAAAATTCTAGAAGATGCCTCCTCTGATTTGCGGGGTTCACACTAGGATTCTTTCTCCTGGCATCCTGTTCCAACATGCTGAAGATTGTAAAAAAATGAAACGATAATTGAAATAAAAGTAAGTCACACATATGCAAGCTGTATTAGCACGAAAGCAAACCACGATTCCATCATGGACCCACCACGGTTCCGCCAGGCGCGGGAACCAAACGGCTGATCGCTGTGGTCAGAGCCCCCGCCCACTACCCTGTCCACAGGCAAAACAAGCTTGAGAATAATTGCTGTGAAAAATAGTAAGTACCTCATTTTTAAACAACAGCGGTATTCTACATGCTTTAAAAACTCAATACTTTTGTTAAGTATGTATAGGAAGTAGAAACAAGTACAATATACATATAAATAAATCTTAAACTCAGGCAGTAAACTGAAGTAAGTTCCCCTGGATGCTGCAAACTGATATTTTAATGAGGAAGGGCTTCAAATGAGATCCCGAGCTTTTCCCCTTATCCGCAGTCAAACTCATCAGCATTTCACAATCCCAGAAGGCAGGCTATCAAGTAACAAAACATTTTTTAAAATACTCCTACTTTTACTTACATGTAAAAATTTCCTATTCACTTCTTTTCTGCATGTGTCCCAATAACTTCATTCATCAATGTATGTGCTCTTGGGGGGTATTAATTATTTGCAAGAAATATACATGTATACATTATATGTATGTTATATATATTACATATTATATATAAACGTATATATATATATACACACACACGTACACACATATATAAAGTAAATGCTGCAATAGTCATTAAACACCTTTAGCTCATTAATCATGGGCTTAGAAATCTGGCTCACCAATAAGATATTCTGTGTGTATGCGCGCTTTATCATATAACACCATGCGGGCAATTTACACGAGCTCTACAGTCTTCGTAAAATTAAACACAAGCGATGCTCCTTAGGGAAACACAAAAGAAGGGGTGCCAGGCTCTACTCAGGAAAGTCAGGCTGACAAAGAGGTCACGATTAAGGGCCCTGTGGTCTAAGAGAAGAGGAGTTCTCTGGGGTGTGGCAGTTGCTGCCACACCTGGGGAAAACAGTGTTAGGGGGAAACAGGGAGCAGGTTCACCTTTCTAGAATCTTTTTCTGACCTCTTATCTCCTCAGTTCCTCCCCGCCAAGAACCACTGCTGTCTGGTGGTCCTCACACAGCGTGCCGTAGGGCTTGAACATCCTGAAAACTCTTCAAAGGTATATCACCAAATGAGGAGCCTTGAGGAGCATTTAATTTTGCTATCATTGAGGATACATTTTTGTCACCACTGTATCTTTCAGACAGAATGTCACAAGCAATACGAACCCTGCTGCAAATAAGGAACAAGACCCAGTGGAGTGGCTAACTAAACTTAGGAGAACTTGGCTTGGTGAGTATTTAAGAAAACAGGAGATAAGCAGTAAATAATAATTTGGTAGGGAAGACATATACAGGGTGTGAGGGTAACTGCAGAATTGTTTTTTCTTTTTACAACTTTTCTTAAAATTTTTTTATGTCTTTATTTTATTTTGAGAGAGAGAGACAGAGAGCAAGCGTGGGAGGGGCAGAGAGAAAGAGACACAGAATCCGAAGACAGGCTCCAGGCTCTAAGCTAGCTGTCAGCACAGAGCCTGACACGGGGCTCGAACCCACAAACGGTGAGATCATGATCTGAGCCGAAGTCGGACGCTCAACTGGCTAAGCCACCCAGGTGCCCCAAGATTTTACTTTTTTTTTAAATTTTATTGCTTTATTTTTTAATGTTTTTATTTATTTTTGAAACAGAGAGAGATAGGGCACGTGCAGGGGAGGGGCAAAGAGAGAGGGAGACACAGATTCCAAAGCAGGCTCTAGGCTCTGAGCTGTCAGCACAGAGCCCGACGCGGGGCTTGAACCCACAAACGTGAGATCATGACCTGAGCCGAAGTTGGAGGCTTAACCAACTAAGCCACCCAGGCACCCCAAGATTTTACTTTTAAATCTTTCAAGTGTGGTGCCAAAAATTCTACTTAGGAACGGATGCTGTAAACAAAACAATGTTAACACCTTTCTCCTCAGTTTACAGAATCTCAGTTAACTACCTACACTGTGTTAGTGACACAGCCACGTAATAACATCCCCGTTCGGGACAAGTTCGCCCTCAACCCCTCCAGAGACTAAGAGGAGCTCTACCACCCCAACTACTCAAAGAGTTATGTTTCCCCTCATTTTAAATAGAAATGTGCTTCTTTATAACTTTCCCCGTTGGGTGCTGGTTCTGGGCTCCGTGGCTCTTCAGAAGACGCCTTCTCCCCACGTCCAAAGACACAGGACCCCTCCCCGCAGGCTCTCTCTGTCAAGGCTGTGGTCTCTTCCCCACGTTCTTCTTTGTGGCGCAGTGTCGGGCCCTCTCCTGTCATCACGCCGCCCACAAGTGGTGTCCAGAACTGGCCACGGTACTTCTCAAGTGTTATGACAAGTCAGGATGGAACAGATAACTCCTTCCCATGTTCTAGACAATTCTTCTTCCACTGATGCAGTCTAATATCATGCAGGCTTTTTTCGCAGTTACATCACATGTTGTTTATACTGAGCCTGGTTTAATCAAAAATCCCAACCTCCTCACAAACTCATTTTGAACCATTACCTTCTTCTCCCTTCCTCTCCCACTTCCAATTCCAAATTTATGTAACTGAGTTTTGATATCAGCAGAATAATTTACATCAATTCCTTTAAAAATATCATTCGGCCTACTAACTGGTCAAGAACTTCTAGGATCCTGGGGTGCCTGGGTGTCTCAGTTGGTTATGCATCCGACCTCGGCTCAGGTCATGATCTCACGGTTTGTGGGTTCAAACCCCACGTTGGGCTCTGTGATGACAGCCAGTTCAGAGCCTGGAGCCTGCTTCAGATTCTGTATCTCCCTCTCTCTCTGACCCTCCCCTGTTCATGCTGTGTCTCTCTCTCAGAAATAAAAACTTAAAAAAAATTTTTTAATTAAAAAAAAGAGAACTTCTAGGATCCTAATTAGCAAAAGAAATTCTCCTTCTAAGCAAGGATCAGCATGCCACCAACATCCTCAACTAAAGTGTTATTTAAACATTGAAAAGAACAGAACAAAGAAATTGAGTCATGGAGCGTGCCCCGAGAGAAAGCCTTACAAAAATATAAATTTAACCACTACTGACTTAATTATATCACACGGTCCAAAATTTCCCATCTTGACCATACAGATATTACAAGATTGTTAAATGGTCTTCTAAGATGCAAACACAGCATGACAGCAGCTGCCATTTTCTGAGCACCTACTGCATATTAGGGACTGAAGACGGAAGTACAAACTGAGGCTCAAAGAGTTTAAACAACTTGCCCAAGGTCATGCTCTAAGTAATTCAAGAAAGCAAGATCTGAACCTAGGACTGAAACTCCATTACTGCATTACGCTGACACCACTTCTTAGAATGACTGATTATTCATTTATTTAAAATGCATTAAATGAATGTTCCAGGAACCATGTACAATGGTAAAGACCCAAAGATAAAAGAAAGGTAAAAATCAAATTACAGTTATGTGTCATGTGATAAGACAATAGTGATTAATGCTTTAATAAAGGTTAATGCTGAATGCTATGGCAGCATACAGCTAAGGCGCCTGGTTTTTACTAAGAGGATCGCAAAGGTATCTTAAATAAAAAGCAATAAATAAACAGGTAGAAAAGGAGAGGAGTGAAGGAAGGCATTCTGCACGAATGGAACAGTATATGAAAAAAGCACACAGGTATAGGAGAACATGTTATGCTCCAGGAACTGAAAGTGAAGCAGGAGAGGGTGTGAGGTGGGCACACACATGTGTAAGCACACAGTGAGAAGGGGTCTCAGAGAGAGGGGGGAAAGAAAGGGCACCAGAAGATAAGACAAGGCTAGATTAGGCCGTACCTGCCACAGTATCACTAAGTCTAGCAACTTATTCAAATAACAGTAACACAACTAGCATGTTTTGGGGGCACCTGGGTGACTCAGCTGGTTGAGCAGCCGACTCTTGGTTTCACCTCAGGTCATGATCTCGTGGTTCGTGCGTTTGAGCCCCACGTCGGGCTCTGCACTGACAGTGTGGAGCCTGCTTGGGATTCTCTCCTCCTCTCCCTGCCCCTTCCCTGCTCATTCTCTTTCTCTCTCTCAAAATAAACAAGTAAACTTGAAAAAAAACTTTTAAAACTAGCAAGTTTTGTTCTTGTTTTAATTTTGGTACTCAGGTATCATATCCTTTTCTGTTTATTTTTTTTTTAAAGACTTTATTTATTTTTAAGATTTTTTAAAAAATAATCTCTACATGAGGCTCGAACTTACAACCCCGAGATAAAGGGTCACATGCTCTGGGCCAGCCAAGTTCCCCTATCATAATACCCCTTTCTACATCAGAATCTTGCCTATGATTATTGTTCAATTCCCTGGTATAATCACCTCTTTCCTTCACCAACTGCTATTACAATCATCTCCTAGTCACCTAGACAACTTGAAAAACAGCAGATTACCAGAACAGCTACCCTGCTTCCCTAAGTCCTGGCTAAGGGGCATAAGCTTCTGAAAAGGAGGCTCCTGGGGCGCCTGGGTGGCTCAGTCGGTTAAGCATCCAACTTCAGCTCAGGTCATGATCTCAAGGTTCATGGGTTTGAGTCCCTTGTCAGGCTCTGTGCTGACAGCTAGCTCAGAGCCTGGAGCCTGCTTCAGATTCTGTGTCTCTCTCTCTCTCTCTGACCCTCCCCTGCTCATGCGGTCTCTCTTTCTCTCCCTCAGAAATAAATAAAACATTAAAAAAATATAAAAATAAATAAAAATTTAAAAAAATAAAAAGGAGGCTCCCTCGATAACTCTCACAGGTAACTCCCAAGCCAAGCGCTGCTATGCTTCTGGAAGCAGCTTCACTTCTGGTTCCTTGAATCCTACTATCAACTAGCAATTAACACACTTGCCTAGTTTCTCTGGATCAGAAAGCCCCTTCCTCTAGCGGTGATTCTCAAAGTGTGGTCCCTGGACCAGCAGCATGAGCATCCCCTGACAGCTAGAAAT